AAAATATTTTATCTATAAATACAAGTATATATTTCCAGGTTGTGGTTCAATGACGTGCAGTTTTCCTCTGTTTATCCTGGGAATGATTGTCAACGTCGTCCAACAGCAATTTGGATAAATGTTTGCCTCTTTTATCGATGTTCGATAGCTGCTTATATTATCATACAAACTATAGCATACCGGGCTTGTTGTTTTTCTAGACCTTTTATTTTCCGCATTTTTCCAGTTTATCTTATATATTTAACAACGGCGACTGTTTGAAATCTGTCATTAAAGAAAGAGTACATTAATTGTATTTGTGTTTATAATGATGATAAAATTAATCGAAAAAAAAAAACCCCAACATTCTAATTCATATTTGGTTACTCTGTTTGAAAATATACGAGACCGAAATTTCAATTTTTGATTTTCAATATGCTTAGATTAAGTACTAATCTTATATAGCTTAATATATAATACAATGTGAACAAATTGCTAACTGTCAAATTTAAAAAAAAAAAAAAAAAAAAAAAAAAAAACTATGTTTTTAAAAAGTCGAATTAAGATATATTTCTTTCATCAAAAATTATTTATAAAAGAGAGTAGCCATATTGTGTTCTGTTTCTAGACAAGTCGAAAAATTGTTTTCGATGCCGATGGAATTCTTGCTACTCCGTCCTATACTACAGAGTCACTGAGAATGGGAGTGGGGTACAGCTATTTGGTCATTAGTTTGATTAGAGGATCGTTACCGATACACATTGCTATGAAATTCAGATTATTCTTAAACACCAAATTTTACGTTAACGCCCCCAAATTCTACCCAACTCGAGAATAATAATATACCGCCTGTCAATCATAAAAAAAACAAAAGCTACTAATTTCATTAACAGGCCAGCTACTTGTGCTGTCCGATAATCTGAGTTTGCATGTTTTGGAAACAATTACCTGGTCACAAGTCAAACACTTCCATGTACACGTGAATAGCCGCTTTGCATACACTCTGGAAAAGAATAAAAATCGCACAATAGGTACGCCACAATGCCTATTGGATAAAACTGTTATCTTAAACTTTCGTCTTCATCCGTTTCATATTTTGATATTTTACTAATTATAAACGTTTATTGCAAACTAACAACTAAAGTACATGTACTTTGGAATCATTAGATTTCGTGGTGGCTCAATATTCGTGGAATTCGTGGGTGCCCTGCACCCACGAATTCACATCCTCAACGAATCAATAATTGGAGTTTTAAGAGTCATCTTTCCTTTTGTACATATGAGTGAGTACGCGAAATTACGTCCCCTTGAACCCGTAAAATTTGAACAATCCACAAAAATTGACCCCCAAGAATTTTAACGATTCCACAGAATTGACAAACGGAATGACTTCCGAATCGGCCACTTCTTACATGTATTTATGTAGTAAAATTCTACAATCACCTGCATATGGTGTGTAAGTCTCTAACTTATTCGGTACGCTAAAGCATGCTCTGTATACGGTCTACTTTTAAACAGACAAATAAGATGGTGTATCAGGACTTTCAACGGTCTCAATCAAAGTCAGCATTTCGAAAATCCCTGGTCATTATAATGACCTTGTTAGCAAATACATTAATTTTTCCATTTTTTAATTTTGCAAGGTTATCCACTTTGAAATTTTAGAATCTTAATAACTTTAACAAATTTCAAAAATCCATGAAGGCCATTACTTTTATAAATACGGAATAATAGTATGGTGATGTTAAAGCCCAGAAAAATATATCATTGTTTGGGAAAATAAAGATAAATAAGGTAATGGTGCTGACAAGTTTGTTTTTCGTTCGGACGAGTAAAATATTTGGGTGGACGAGTGTTTTTGCTTCGTACATATTAAATACATTTAGAAGAAAGTAGACTAAGATTAAAATTTCTTCGAATTGTTCAGACGAACTGGATATTTGCTTGGACAACTAAGCGAATATTTATTTGTTCGAAAAGATTTGATGTTTCTTCTTTATACAAGATTTATCATTCCTATGATAAAGGAGATGAAAATCAAAGACGATACATGTATAAAGCAATTGGATTAATTGCACTTTGGGGACGAGATATGGATATCTGCATGTCTTTTAATTGGTTCCATTCCTTTGCGATTTCTGGGGTTTCATGGAAGTTTTACTTGCAGTTATGTTAAAATTGCTTGTATATCCACTTTTGTTTGCTATATACAATGGATAATTAATTTATAATGTACCAAAAGTGTCCAAGACATCCCGCAATTTCTCTTATTCCAATTGTAAGATACTTTTGCTATACGTCCGAAAATTACATGCTTGTTCAGTGTTAAAATTACTGCATTAAAAATACATATATCTAAATGCAACTTGTTAACAGATATGTATTCACTAATTAACAACTGTCAATTTCCAATGAATACATGATTAAAATTACAACTGCAAGTCAATAAGATAAGTAGCGCCTTGGACCAAGAAAGCAACAGTGTTGAATATATCACTTAATTAGTCTTTTACACATTGGCAATTGAACATTGTTGATTAGTGACAGATAGATAGACATTATAAACAATATTTTTTCTCTCTCTTTCTCTCTGGAATATATATTTTTTTAAATCTTCATAAAACAATGATGCATTTGTCAAATCAAAATGGAAGCATTTCCACAAAGTGTATATTAAAGTCGATTATTGTTGTCAATTGATCATAACAGATCATTTCATTCGAAAGATTTAATGAGACCAATATATCATCCTGTATCTTCATTTTGCGTATACCTCAGGTGAGCAATTTGGTCAACGGGCCATTTTATTTATAATTTTTAAATCAAGAATAAAAATACATGTATATCCCTAAAAAAAATCTACAGGGGGTCATTTAACTCATTATTTTACGGGGGTCATTTTTCTTCACGTAGGATATGCAGATTTTAAGGGTAATGCCACTTTTTTCTACAGGCAAAAGGGTCATTTTTCGACGTCGAATAATGATCGGGGGCCATTTTTCGACGTCGAAAAATGATCTCCGGATTTTTTTTTATGGGGGTAATTATTCGTCTTTACACCGGCTAATCGCTCAGATTAATCTTATGTTACATTGACAAAATAATGCAGGTTGCAATTCGGTCTATATACAAACCCTTTGATGTCGTCATCTTAAGAAAATATAAAGTGAACGTTTACCAATGGCAGTAACTCCTAAAGTCTTACATTTTCTGAAATTTCGTTCTTCGAATCATTCCAAATTGACATTGTCACCTTGGATTATGATGACGTAGTTATAAATTTGTTGTCTTTTCTCATTCTTTGAGTTTAATTTTATTTTGTTTCAAATTTCTCGTACTCGGGTAAATTTTCTCCAGGAGTCAAATTTTATACATTCTTTATATATTTCAGGTTTAGCATTTATGAGACAGATTGGGTAAAGATGGGGGATAAGACATTTAAATTTTCAATTTAACATATACATATACTCAGAAAAGGTATCCGTAGACCTTCTTATTATAGATTATAGTCATCAAGAATGCCACTTGTTTTCTATATTATCTTTTTAAATCTGAAGAGATTGTTTTTACTTCATGGATTTGAATTGGATTAAAACAAAATAAAAAAGAAATTTCATTAACATAGGGATTTTAACATATTCATGAATAGTTTATCCGTTGGACCACATGTAACCCCTCTACAATGCTCTCTTGCTCGGAAAATACATGTCCCTTTAAATGATAATTCCTTGATGAATCGAATGTCGACAATAAAATACTAAATACTAAATAAAATCACTTATTTTCTTTAATTGGGTAAAATATTCATTGATTGAGTAAAATTATTAACTCGTGATGTTTTTTTTTCGTGGTTGAAGAAGCATATGTATTTGTAATGTTAACATTTCGCGGAGGATATGAGTTCGTAGGTCTCTACATGGCCGTAGGAACCGGGGGGGGGGGGACACGTGCCCCCCAATAATTTTGCCGATATATAGATTACTATAGTAAACATAGATACTATATGCTTGTGCCCCCTCAATGAAAACGTTTGATGACCTTTTTTTTTTTTTTGCTTGTCAAGGTATTTTTTAGTGGTTGATGACCTTTTCTTTTTGCTTGTCAGGAAATTTTTGGTAATGCCCCCCTAAACTGTAATGCAATGGTTTGTCTTGAATTGTACCCTGATGATGGGTACTGTTTGTCAGTACAACTGCACTGACGACAGATTCGATGTTTGTCATCGTTTCTGTCATGTCTTATAAGCACTAACTGATGTTTTTCCAAGACAAAGAACTATGTATAGGACAACAGCAATAAGGTCAATGTTTTAATAAACAGAACTTCAGTTTTAGTCATATTGCATCCCTTTCTAACTTAACGTCATTCCCGAGAAAAACTAAGAAGATAACAATAGATTTTGATAATGATTAGAACAGTTTAATTTTGACAAAAGTTTTTTTGCCTGAATAGGACTTTCATTCTCTTCTTCATAGTAAATCAGCTAATAACATATTCTAGTTTGTATATGGAAGAACAAAACAGACTTTAAAAACGGAATAGCATAACTTTCATTGACACAACATGTTAAAGAGTTAATTTGGGTTTTTGTCAAAACACCAAATTAAAAAAAAAATCGCGTTTTGTTACAATCAAACCTTAAAATAATCCACCCAGCAGTAACTGTCCGTTTTTTTTAGGCTTGAATTCTTGCCAGAAGTTCCATTCACTCCAAATATGGTTCCAAATGAAATTAACATTTTATTAAAGTTATTTTCTGGTGATTTCACTTTTTTGATTTGATTTTGGATAAAATATTTGAAAATATTTACATGTATCCTTTCTTGAATTCCCAAGTATAGATATACATTGTTTGGAACTCATCAACACAGTGCATGTGTACAAGATGTTCGATATTCAGAACACAACTCACCAAAATGTATATTTGATACGAATAATATACAACCAAATGGTTAATTTATATGCATTTGCTAAAACAAATGCAATTTTGCATGTTAGAAAGAGGTTATCGTATTCCTAAGTGAACGAAGTTTCGAAACGTATTTTATTCAAAATTCTGTAGGAAAATGTACATAATAATTCCAAATATCAGTAGTGGAAAACTGCCGATTATCGTGCCACAGCCTGCAAATATATAATTTTATATAATATCATGATTTATATTTTACATTCCTTATAACCATGTAGTCAAGAGAGACAGAGAGAGAAAGGTCATGGAATGCTGATAAATAGCAAATTATCTCTAGAATGCTAGAGATTTTGCAAAATAAAATGTTGCTGAATATTCACTACATCGAATTGATATGAGGGAGAAGAAATTTCCAAATCTGTTATCGTGAATTTATCAAAATATTTCATTGTGATATTTTTTCCTCCTGATACCATTCCTGTGATTGAAAGATAATTAAGATATTATTATTATTGTTTTTAACGGAAGCCCGTTGAGGTCAGTTCAGAGAAGGAAATATTTTTTATGCGTTTAAACGCACTAATAATTGCGTTTTAACGCAATACACTTTGCATCTAATCGCAAAAGATTGCGATTAACAATCTTTTGCGTTTAAACGCAATAACTTTGCTATTAAACGCAATAGTTTTTGCGTTTAAACGCAATAATATTTTTGCGTTTAAACGCAATAATTTTTGCGATTAAACACGATAGTTTTTGCGTTTAGACGCAATAATATTTCGATCAAATGCAATACCTTTGCGCTTAAATGCAATATTTTTGTAGTTAAACGCAAAAATTTTTGCGTTTAAATGCAATATTTTTAGGTTTAAACGCTATAATCTTTGCATTTAAACGCAATAATCTTTGCGTTTAAACGCAATAATCTTTGTGTTTAAAGGCAATCATTTGTATGAAACCTTTGCAGAGTACAATGGACCCTCCCATACCGATATCTTTCTCTTTTTCACTTATTAGGAAATTGTGTATTGTCTAGCTTATTAGAATCAGATTTCTCCGAGCAAACGCTCTCTGAAAGGATAAATCACTTATGTGAATTTATAGAGGAGAAAAAAATGTCGGGTTGTAAAAACAAAGGCAACCTAAGAACGAGACATGTCTCAAACTTATTAGATCTCTATATTCTCGATGTTTTGGTCAGTTGCTTCGTTAGAAAACTATCCCTTATGTTGCGGTCACAAAGTTTAACCCATGTATAAAGGGGTTTTAAGAAAGGACTGATGAAATGTTGGATGAAACGTACAACATGATGATTTAGACTAAAATGTATATTCACAACCCTTCCTACGGTTGTATACAGTAAACACAAGAACATAGGTGATGGATTCATATGAGATCAAAATCAAATGAAAACAGATTGATCAATGCGTACTACCAAATTGACAAGTGCTATTAATACTACTGAAACATTCTCTGTAAGTTGTGATACGAAAGCAATTGACCGAAAGACTTCATTAGGAGCGTTGGGTTTTAATACAGTTAAGACATTCAGGTTGTTAGGATGCCATCGTTTTACTACAATTTTCAAAAACTGGAAAATTTTGCAAAAAGACACAGAACCAATGGGATCTTCTTTGAGTCTCTGAACCGTCACGGTAGCTCAGTCTGTAGAGATCTCGCTTCGTGATCGGAAGATCGTGTGTTCGAATCACGGCCGTGACTGACCTAAGTCGATAAAAAATAGGTAGCAACTGTTCCTTCGCCATGCGCTCTGCACTTTGAAGTGAAAGTTGCGGGTCTTCGGATGAGACCTTAAAAACCGAGGCCCCGTGTCACAGCAGGCGTTGGTACGATAACGATCCCTCGCTGCTCAATGGCCCTGAGTGCCGAGTAAAGGTCTAAATTTGAAGCCCTTCGCAGGTATACGGTATCGTCTCTATATGAGTGAAAAATTCTCGAACGAGACGTAAAAGAACATGCAATAAATCAATCATTTGAGTCTGCTTTGGCTAATTGATGTCTGATTTTGAAACTACAGTATATTTATGTTTAAATCCTAATAAGGAATGATTATTGCGTTTAAAAGCAAAAGTATTGCGTTTAATAGCAATATTATTGCGTTTATGCGCAAAAGTATTAGATTTAATTGTAATATTATCGCGTTTAAACACAAAAACTATTGTGTTTAATCACAAATTTTTTTTTGCGCTTAAACGCAAAAATATTATTGCGTTTACTCGAAAAAAATATTGAGTTTAAACGCAAAAGATAAACGCAGTCTGCGATTAAACGCAAAGTGTTTTGCGTTTGAACGCCATGATAAATGCGAATAAACGCGATCTTTTGCGTTTAAACACGGGTTCCGTTTTGAGGCCAGTTCAGAGAAAAAAATATTTTTTATTGCGTTTAAATGCAAAAATAATTGCGTTTAAATGCAAAACATTGCTTTTAATCACAATAATCATTACGTTTAAACCCAAAAGATTGCGTTTTATTTCAATGTATATTGCGTTTAATCGCAAAACACTTCGCGTTTAATCGCAAAAGATTGTAATTTAACGTAATCAGTTGCGTTTAGGCGCAAAACTTTGCAATTAAACGCATTATTTTGCGATTAAACGCAATAATCTATGCGTTTAAACGCAATAATCTATGCGTTTAAACGCAATAAACTTTGCTTTTAAAGACAATCATTTGTATCAAAACTTGCAGAGTACAATTGACCCACGCATACTGAAATCTTTTATTTCTTTCTCTTTTTTACTTATTAGGAAATTTTGTACTGTCTAGCTTTATAGTATCAGACTCCTCCGAGCAAACGCGCTCTGAAAGGATAAATCACTGCTATGAATTTATAGAGGAAAAAAGTGTCTGGTTTTAAAAACAAAGGCAACCGAAGAACGAGACGTCTTAAACTTAGATCTTTTTTTTCTTGATGATGTTTTGGTCAGTTGCCTACAATCGCAAATCACATTTTCTCTTTTGTTAATTTTTTTACTTTGAAACAATTTTGCAAACAATTAGAATGGATTATCTGAATAAAAGACGAAAGAAGAAAAAATGGTTAAAAACCTTAACTAACCCCCACGTTGCAGTCACAAAGTTTAATCCTGTGGGACGTGGAGACCGGTCCTTCGGATGAGATGGTATAAACCGAGGCCCCCTGTCGCAGTAGATGCTGGCACGAAAAAGATCCCTCGCTGCTCAATGGCCCTGAGTGCCGAGTATAGGTCAAAATTTGCAGCTCTCAACCGGCAAGTGATGGGGTCTCCATAAGCGTGAAAAATTCTCGAGAGGGACGTTAAACAATAAACAAAAAAAACAAAACAAAGTTCTACCCATGTATCAAGGGGTTCAGGAAAAGACTGATGAAATGTTGGAATTACGTACAACATGATGAAGAATTTAGACTTCACTATATATTCACAACCCTTCCTATGGTTGCATACAGTAAACACGAGAAAATTGGTGGTGGAATCATATGAGATCAAAATCAAATGAAAACAGATTGATCGATTTGTACTACCAAATTGACAAGTGCTATTAATACCACTGACACGTTCTTAACTAGTTGTGATACGTAGGCAATTGATCAAGGGCTTCATCAAAAGTGTTGGGTTCTAATACATTTAAGTCATTCTGATTATTAGGATACCATTTTTTTTACTGCAGTTCTCAAAAAATGAAACATTTTACGAAAAAAAAAAAAAAAAAAAAAAAAAAAAAAGAACCAAACGGTTCTTCTTTAAAGTGTCGGATCCTAGTAAGTATAAGCTTTGGCTAATTGATGTCTGATTTTGAAACTACAGTATCATTGTGTTTAAATGCAAAACGAATCGTTAAAAGGAAGGATTATTGCATTTAAATGCAAAATTATTGCGTTTAAACGAAAACATTATTGCGATTAATCGCGAAATCATTGCGTTTAAACGCAAAAGATTGCGTTAAATCGCAATTCTTGCGATTAAACTCGAAGTGGTTTGCGTTTAAACTCAATATACGTTGCGATTAAACGCAATATTTTGCGTTTAAACGCATTGATTATTGCGATTAAACGCAATAATTATTGCGTTTAAACTCATTAAAAAATATTTCTTCCTCTGAACTTGCTTCAACGGGCTACCGTATTTTTTTGTTCATTTGAACATTTTGAAATCTAATTCTGATATCAAGTCAAGAAAAATATATAAGAAATAATTTCACCAAAAAAAAAAAAAAATCAGAAGCGTTAACAATTTTAACAATGTCTTTCATTAAGAGAGAGTATATAAAAGCGTTTTCTTTAGATACATTATTTATGTCAATAAAAATTTTACTTTGCAGTGGTTCAGATATTGAAAATGGTACGATTTCATTTTCCCACTGTGATGATATTTGCAGAAGGACTCTCTCCGGAAACCAAAGCTTAACTAAATGACTGGCCGAACCTCGTATCAAAATCTTACCAAAACACTACAGCAACATATACGGAATGAGCTAAATCAAATGTAACAACATACTTGCAAAACTCAGTGTTTCTATTTAACTCATAATTTCATCATTGTAAATCGTTTTCTTTACATAGATCATATTCATACTAAAATATGTTCAAAAAATGTTCGGGTATAAGTTCGAGCAAAGCTTATTTTGATGTACTCTGATGATTCCTCATCTTAAAATGAACATTTTATTTTACAAATATTCTTTTTGACATTAACACTCATGAGATGGTTAAACCAAACTTTTTCAAAAAACTTTTACAAACCTCCACATGAATACTTATCCAGAGTTAGTGTAGCGTTTGCTATGATTTGGCTTCCCTCGGTCAAATTGCAGTTTTCCATGACTTGGTCCAGACAGGAAAGGAACGTTTTTGAAGCACTTGAATTAAATATATAAAATATTACCAATCAGTGCTAAGATCATCTGAAATATTGCGGTAGTTTTTTAATTGTAATGCAACGTAAAGTCTAATTTGAAAATTTTAGATTAAATATGTTTTCAATGTATCTTTGAAAATATTAATTATATTTGCTTTTATCAACTCAACAGTTTTTATGGAAAACATTATGAAAAACATTCCTGTTTATCTTTTTATGATATTTGATTCCTGTTAATTTTTTATGATATACATATGAACATCTAACACATTTACCTGCATACGTTATCTTTGGAGGAGTCTGTACTTATTGAGGTCGTGAAGTTGGTTTGGCATCTTCCTACAGCTGTTGTAGAATCAGAACAGGTCTGTGAAGAAACTCCTAAAATCAAACAAAATCTTTACAGGGTTACGTTACGAACCTATGTACAGAAATCCAGAATTGATGTATACCTACCAAGGAACTGTAAGTAAAGGAAAACAACACCAAGTGTAAAACAACTTGTTAGGTAATTCATGATTTCAGGCGGATATCTTAACACCTTTCCACATGTGAAAAAAATTACAAATTGGATGGTTCTTATTCATGGGAGGCTCTTTTATTTGGAAGCAAAAAGAACGGTGTTTTCCCTACATTTTTTCATCAAAACCCGTTTCTGGTTTTATTACGTTCTCTCTGAAAATGCGTTATTGAAACAGATAAGTGTTTAAGATATGAATAATTTTAAGCAATAAACCACTCTGGAGCTTTCGAAAATGGGAGGTAATAAAACATTTTTTGCTGTATTTGGAAAACAAAACGTAAAGTTTTGGCAAGGGGGATTTTAAAAGAATTTTATTTTATGAATATGTTTAAAAATTTTCAGGATCTATATAGGTGTATATTTAATTCGTAGATATCACTGCATTTATAAAAACTTGAACAGGATTGTCTTTTTTTTAATGACCACAATGTGTTTGGACCATTTTCTAGCAACATATATGTTTCTCAGTTTTAGTGCAATTCATGTATACATATGTATATTGTTTCTACAACTTTGAGATTTTTGAAATTTATAATAACCAACACTTATTGGAAAATTTTCTTCCACAATTTTTTCACAAGCAGTGCTCAGAATAAAAAAAAGAGTCTTTAGGCAGTTGGTACATTATGATACGCGCTCCATTTCTCGTAACGACGTTGGAAATCGCTTCCTTGAGAGGTGTCAGGAATTGGGTCACACTCTAGACCTTCCCCGCTCAACATTCCATAAGCATTTCCCAGTCACCTTGCACTTGTAGCCGGAGCATACCTCTGGTGAAATCTTCACTTATTTTAGCGCTGAACAAGTTTTTCTCAGCAAGAACTTTCAAGTAAAAAACTCAATTTTATAAAATATTTCACTGTCATAAGATAAATAAAGATAGTAAAATATAGAGAAACCTAATGATATATTCATTCCAAGGAAGATAACATTCAGGTACACTGAGAATGGGATGTGATATCCATTAAACAAGATTAATGCCCGCACTCTTATATATCATGTTCTCACTTTCAAGCTTCTTACAAAAGGAAACAGTTTGAACGAAGTCATATGCTCAGATTTGATACCGTATGATCATTTTTTTAAGGTTTTGGCTTTTGGTATATACAGGTACATGTATTAGAGGTTTCTGAAATATCTTGAAATTGTTGTTCGACTGAAGAAGGGTTAATAATTAAACTCATGATTTTTTAAAAGCTAAAAGAATATAAATTTAACCCATGTTTCGTATCCGGTTTGCTTGTTTGTTATCTGAGTGCAATACAAGTACTTTTAAGAATGCAATAAAATAGTGTTAGAAATTATGTTTGAATGCAATAAATATAAATGGCACATCACAATGAAAGCAAGAATGTCCTTTCATTTCAGGTTGGTACACTACAGAGATATCACAAAGAAACATTACGGCTTATAAGGTGATCAACAACACATTAATATATATATATATATATATATATATATATATATATATATATATATATATATATATATATATATATATATATATATATATATATATATATATATATATATGTGTGTGTGTGTGTGTGTGTGTGTGTGTGTGTGTGTGTGTGTGTGTGTGTGTGTGAGGGTGTGTGTGTGTGTGTGTGAGAGAGGGTGTGTGTGTATGTGCACTTGAATACGATCTGTTTAAAAGTATATTTGCAAGCCAATTACTTAATTCTTTTCCAGGCATTTCTGCTCAGACCTGTTCCAATGCATCTCTTGCTGAGTGTACTGAAAAAATGAAGAGAGCGTATCAGGAAATCCTTCTGAAAAAGCAGTTATATGCAAGTAAGTTATAAAACCTATTCAAAGATTTAACTCTTTGAGGTGGAACCACTCTTTGATCTAAATTTCACCTAATAATAGTTGCAGTTGTAATAATAATAATAATGATAATAAATGAAATTCACGTTGATTTTAATAAACAACAATAAAAGAAATGCACTATTAAAAAAATCTTTATATGGTATATAATGAATTAAGTTAGGTTTTAAATCATTAATAAAGAGATAGAATTCCTAATTTGTAAGAGTTAAGAAAATTATGCAAATGCTTTAATCAGGTCAAATGTGTTAAAAACTACAAAAAATAGAAGTCAATGTTTGTGTACTATATAGGCATTGGATGAACTGCCTATATAATGGTCTTCACTACTTTAAAACTATGGAAAAACAAACTATCGGACATATTAGGATTGTTCCACTTTAAACTGTAACAAAGATTAAAATTACTTCAATGAAATATTAACTAAAAATGTTGTCAACGCTGCAGAATATTTTTCAAATACATAGACAGTATTTTTATTAAGATTTGAGTTTCAGATATTTTTAATTTTTTTTTTTTTACATTTTCAGTGTTGAGATAATATTAGATTTTTCAAATGATAACGTTCTTGGCAGATACAATTTCTTTTCTTAGGAAAGCATATGAAGTTATTGCATGTGTTGACAAAGTCGCTAAAGCATGCAATAATGTTCATGAGGAATTAACCATACTCTATGTTAAAGATCACATAAGACAGCATGGGTGCATATATATATATATATATATATATATATATATATATATATATATATATATATATATATATATATATATATATATATATATATATATATATATATATATACTGATATGTTTTTGTCACTTGCCTAGTGTTACAATTAAGTACATAAAGAGAAATCTCTAATGCCTGTATATTTACTCGAGGTGATGCCTCAAAGCTACACAAACAGCTTAACTGCTTCCCACTTGGTAACACTTGGTACCAACACTTTCATCTGATAGTGATTGCCTAGTGTATTTATAGCGGTTTCGGTGGTTGTGAGGTGGCGATCAGACAGGTGGCATGATGAATAACCCAATTTTGACGTAGCGTAATTACGCGCCAACGTCATCGTCACGGTTGGTCGAAAACCCTTCCAGTTCCCCACTTACTACAGATAAGACGTTCTGTGGTGTAAAATTCACCAGTAACTTCACAGCAACCTGTTTTTGCCTTCTTCTTCACTTAGGCAATGCAATAGGCAGATCCCACGAAACTTAGTCAGCCGTACCATGATAGCAAGAGATTCAGATTGCCTGTAAATATTGAAATATTGATTATCGATGTGTATACCTCCAATGCATCGTGTGGCATTACAAGATGTGTTGACAAACGTGTCTTCATCTATATGCAAGTGTTTTCACTTTCACTACACGACGTCATACATTTCAAGGTTGAGTAATTCTGAACAACGATTGTACTGCACACTAACCAAGATACCTCTGTGATCAGTTCTCAGAATTTTCGGCCTAAAAGTGAAAAAGATTTCTGCATATTATCCCTCCGTTTCTTTTCCTTTCAATGTATATATATATATATATATATATATATATATATATATATATATATATATATATATATATATATATATATATATATATATATATATATATATATATATATATATATATATGCCATCGATATTGATGTTTCAGAATGTACGGATATCCTGGTCGTATTCCTTTTTATTTAGCAAGACTATATTTTGTTACATCATTTTTAGCAATTACATTGTTATCACTGATTAGTTGATTGTCTCCTGAGAACTAAATTGCCTGAACTCCCATCTATTTAAGAAATAAGGTATCATTTTTAAACATCTATCGGGATATAAATACGGGTTGGTCACGAGATCAAATTCCATAAAGCCCGAAGGGCTTTATGGTAAATTTGATCTCGTACCAACCCGTATTTATAGCCCGATAGATGTTTAAAAATGATACCTTATTACTTATATTTACATTTGTGACTTATTCATATTTTATATTTGCCTAATTATAATTTTTAACGCGTGAAACGTTTTATTTTTTAAACCCAACGGCACGTGTTTGATCCTCTGATTGCGCGTCGACCCTTTGTGACGTCACTGAGAAATTACGTCGAACGTTTATGACGCGAGGAACCCGTGTTTATACGGATATAGATACGCATTGCTTTCAATAGTGTTATATAAAAGAAAACATTTGCAAATGTAAATATTGTATTATAATATTTGCTTTACGAATAATATATGTAGTTTCTTATCGTCTGCTCATTTTTTCTTCAATGTTTGTCATATTACTTAAAATCAAAACTCTATATGGTAAATTTGGTAACTGTGATAACTGAACATAGCTGTGATACATCAAAACTACAGTTGATAAAGAATAAATTTATTTATGCATATTTACTGTGAAACATGAGGTAACCAGTCGGAAGAGATGGGTTTCAAAATGTGGCCATGTATAAATCTCTAAAAAAAAATTAAAATTGTGTGTACTGTAAAACTCGGTTAAAAAGAAGTCACAGGGATTTCGAATTTTACTTCCTTATAACCGAGATTCTCATTAGGAATATAATGAGCAGTTATCTAGGGAATTCATTTAAGAAATAAATAACATGGTAAAAAAAGTCTCTGGGAAATTTACTTGGTAGGTCACGTGATTAAATCCTGTGAAGCCCGAAGGACTGGATTTGATCAGGTACCAACCAAGTTCATTTGCCAGTGAACTTTCAACATTGTTGTGTTATGGGTCAGAATAACCCGAAATGCCAGCAAAAATCAATCACGCAGTTTGAACTTAACAATTTATTTACAGTAATATATAAAAATCAAAAAGTACAAACTTACAGCAAGAATCCAAACATACATACAACAGAATGTCCGTTACTACACACAATGACCCAGTGAGAGTATCCTATCCAAGTCTGTACTCCGTACGCCAGTCTTTTTGTTCGCCAGTCTTCTTGTACGCCAGTCTTACCCTTGCATACAACTGATAGTTTATTTATACGTTAACATAAATCTAGAAAATTCTAGAAATCGTAAATACAAGGCGTTACTGGAACATTCTGGACACACACGAAATTCAACAATGTTCTAGAAAAAATGACCACTCTAGATCTGGAATGTTCCAGAAAATTCTTTATGTTACTTAATATATACATGATGAAACAATACAAACAACACACCTCACAACAGGTGTTTATTTCTTATATTTACATTTGA